AGATTAGATATTTTGTTAAAAATCTCATAATATAAGGTTGATAAGCTCTGTGTTGAATAAATAAATAATACATTTTGGGATGGACATTATGTGATTAATGTAGCAATCATACCAGTTTGTGGGTAACTATAATATATGTATATTACGAATTGTTGGATAAACAAGCGATTACATAAAATATATTGTGAAAATCTCATAGTATTAATTTGATAATCTGTATATTGAATAAAGAAAAAAAATACATAATGGATTGGACATTAAGGGATCAACGCGATGATTATACTTGTTTTTGGTTAATTAATAATTACGTTTAAAAGAAATTCTGGGATAAGTAGGCGTTTAGATAAAATATCTTGTTAAGAATCTAATAATTTCGGATGAAACGTTGCATAATGAATAAATAATTAATACACTTTCGAGTTGGACATTACGGGATCAATGTATAGTACATGCTAATACCTGTTTGTGGGTCACTATATACACGAATTTACATGTATATGAGGAATTGTTTGAAAAGTAGGCGATTGCAAAAAAAAGTGTAACATGCAAGAGTCTTATAATATAAGGCTTATTAGCTGTATATTGAATAAATGAATAAAATATTAGTACGATAAGATGAACATTATGGGATCAGTCAAATGAATGCGCCAGTTTGTGGGTCACTGCATGTATATGTAAGAAATTATTGGATAAGTAGGTGTTATGCATAAAATAATCTTTTTAATAATGTCATAATATTGAATAAATAAATAAAATATTATGAGATGGACATTATCGGGCTAAGGTAGTAATTATACCTATTTTGTGTCACTATCTATGCGTATATAGAAACTGTGGGATATGTAGGCTCGGGGATGAAATCTCTTGTTGAGAATTTCTAATATTAGGCTGATAAGCTATATGTTGAATAAATAGATTATGGTAATAGTAAATATATTACGATAAGGGATTGACTTATGGGATAGATGAAGTGATTATACCTGTTTGTGGGTCATTGTATATACGAATTGTGGGATATATATATATTGCATGTGATTATACCTGATTGTGGGTCACTGTATATATGTATATAATGAATTGGGGGATAAATGTAGTGATTGTACCTGATTGTGGGTCACTGTATATACGTATACAATGAATTGGGGGATAAATATAGTGATTATACCTGTTTGTGGGTCACTAATAATATGTATATAATGAATTGTGGGATAAATATAGTGATTATACCTGTTTGTGGGTCACTGTATATATGTATATAATGAATTGTGGGATAAATATAGTGATTATACCTGTTTGTGGGTCACGGTACATGTATCTATGTATATATGAACTGTGGGATAAATATAGTGATTATACCTGTTTGTGGGTCATGATATAGATATGTTTATAACAAACTTTTGGATATGAAAGCATATACGTAAGATATTGTCTTTAAAATCTCATAATATAGGGTTGATAAGCTCTTTATTGTTTAAATGAATAATTCACGAATGGAGGGTCATTATGTTATAAATGTAGTGATGATAGCTGTTTGTGGGTCACTATATATATTTATATGTATATAACGAATTGTGGGACAGGCGATTGCATAAAAATATAGTGTAGAATCTCGTAATATTACTCTGCTATCCTATATGTTGAATCAATAAAAATACATTACGGATTGGACATTATGGAATCAATGCAGTGATTAAATCTGTATATTTACTTTTAAAAATAAGAATTCAATGCTTAAATGTGGTTCACTATATACATGTATATAAGACAATCTGGGATAAGTAGGCATATAGATAAAATATGCCGTTCAATATCTAACAATGCTTAATGAATAAATAAATTATAAATAATACATTGTGGGGTGGACATTATTTGATAAATCATCTTTGTCACTATATATATTTGTGTATGTAAGAAATTGTGGGATATATATAGAGAGAGAGGATATCCCTAAAATATCTTGTTAAGAATCTCATAAATCGTATATAGCAGTGAGTCATTATGTAATATGACCCCAAAATACTTGAAAAGTAATATTTAAAATCTTATATTGAATCCAGCAAAACTGTTCTTAATGATTCATTCCATATTGTACATATGTAAATATACATATATATTTATATCAAACATTAATTCTTATGTCTTACATTGTGAAATGCAGCACATAATATATATAGCATATGATAATATTGTGGGTCATGATATTCATATATATAGAGAGCATTGTGCGATGTATATACTTTATCCCACAATGCTCTATATATATGAATATAATGACCCACAACGATATACAACATTTTTAATCTTATCTCAAAAATTATATTATATATTATATAATGACCATATATAACGCCTAAATCATGAATATGACATAGCTATGCAATGTAGAAATGCGAGATCCCACAAACCTGTTTAGTAGGTCGGTGCCCACAAACAACCTCATATACCTATATATATATATATATATATATATATATATATATATATATATAAAAGGATCTACCCTTCCTACTTTATGAATTAGTTACTTTTTCTTTCACTAGACACAATATGGGGGGTGTTTCCCGCCCTATTGCACATGCAAGTATTGCCTCATTTCACTTTTTTAAGGATTTTAGTATATGGAAATTTGTATTTCATGTATTTAGACAAATGAAATGAAAAAGGACATTTTATTCGATGAATTGAGCTTAGACCCCCTTTACCTCTCCTACACAAACATCTACTTTCAAAATAATACATTTTCCGAAGTAGCTTCAGCCATTTTCTGATTTTTAATAGTTGATTTCTGTAACGATGGAAACGTCTTCGGTATTATGGAGTATTTTCTTCTATTTGTCAGCTTTTTATTACATTGTAAGTGATTACAGAAAATTAGACTGGAGAAATTATCATTTACAAAGTAGTTAAAACACTATCCGTTCTATAATACACATATACTTTATTGTTCCGATTTTTAACTATATATAGGTGCAATAACTGGTCCCGGGAAAACTACCGAGATACGGGAAGTTAGGGCGAGTTACGTTCGTTCGTAAGATGACGGTATTTCTCTATAGAGACGTCACAATAAACCGATGAAGGGCTTCAAATTCATACCTTTACTGGGAACTCAGGACCATTGATCAGTGAAGGTTCTTTATTGTGCCAACACCTTCCGAGACAACGAACCTCAGTTTCTAAGGTCTTATCTAAAAGACCCTGACTTCTAATGCTGGGCTCTTGGCGAAGAAACAATCACTATTTATGTTTACATTTAGGTTTGACGCAGCGCAGCGAATGAGAATCGAACCCGGACTACCGATCACAAAGCGATCGTCCTACAACTAGGCAACCCTCACTGCATATTTTGACATAGTTGAAGTTTCTAATTGATTTGTTTTTGTACTTGTGTGAATGAATTGATGTGTTAATCACAGATACTTGTCACGTAGATAGTGATGTTAGGTACATATATTGTTGCCCGCAAAATATGTACAGAACTAGAAAATGTACCATTACACTACAGATGCTCTTTGAAGCAAAAAAAAAAAAAAAAAAAAAAAAAAAAAAAAAAAAAAAGCCGAAAAGAAGGCATCAGTTGACAAAATTTTTGATGGCATGTTTAACAGTGTTCAAACTATGCATCTGAAAAAAAAAGAAAATGAATAGCTTCCAACATCTAAATGTAAGTCAGTGTTACTTACTTTGATAAAATCACAAGGTCGCACAATACATAACCTACACGAAAGGATAATCCTTGACCTTTAGACATCCAAATTGTTGACTGATACATGTAGCTACTAATATGAATAACAGGTTTTTAATAGCAATATGTGTTTAAAGTAGTGAAGGAGGTAATATATTTAAAATAAATATTGATTAGTTCAAATTTTTGAACATTTTAACTTGTCATAATTAATAACATATTTATATTTAAAGCACTTCAATAGTTTATAGTTATTAATTTATGTGAAGAATATCTAGTGAAAGCTCACTTAATTTTTTTTTTTTTTTTTTTTTTTGAAAGTTAAAAGTATTGATGAACATGTTTATAATAGTACATGTACATTTTCGTAGAAAACAGTTATTGAGTAATATGCATTAGTATAAGCTGCTTAATATAGAAACATAATAAGTCTAAAACTTCCTCAAATTCGCTGCTATATGAAAAATGACACTTTAGTCGGTTCTTGCTGTCTTCCGATTATACATAAACGAATCACACACAAGGAAATATTGTAAATTGTTATATGAATTAAAACATTTTATTTTACATAAATTGTATGGAAATACAATCTAACTACAGTTGAATTTCGGTATCTTGAACTCTAATATCACGAATACCATGGATATGTCGAAGTGATTTGGAAGTCCCAACGACTCATTCCTCAAGTATTTTACCCTCAGCATCTCGATCCTCGGATCTTTTTTTCTCGATTCCAACAAGTTCGAAATAACGAGGTTTAACTGTATATTAACATTTCATGTATATTAAAGTTTTAAGGCAAGAAATGTATCGAATAAGCAGGATCTGTAAACAATATAACACTAGTTTTCAACACAATGACAACCATTTATCATATTATTACAGCTTCTATTGCTAACTTAATCTGATCTCCAAAGCGATTTTTAAAAGGGTAAACATATTCATGCAGAAATAATACATAGCATTGCTTTAGCATAATTTTAGGGTACATATACAATGATTTTTTTAGAACAATTAAGAAATTGGTAGATTTTAAATGACCTTGAATTGAGTAATTAAGAAGATATATTACTTCACACAGATCAAGTTTCAAGAAATCTGAAAAAGTGCTCATAAATATAGCATGATGTATCAACATTAGACTCTAAAATGAGTTCCGCCACTAAAGAGAAAATTTCTTTGAAAAAGTTTCAAAATGACACCAACGTACCATCATACTGTGCACAAAGTATTTCCCGCATTGATCAGTACAAAATAATTCATATTGAATTTAATGATAAGAAATACAGTCACTTCAGCTCCTAATTTATGATGATCATGATGATTAGACATTTAGAAGTAATTGCCGTTTTTTGTGTTCAGTCAATCTGTGGTCAAGACGGTCGATGTGACGGGTATGTATTATACGATTTAACTGGTTTTATTTTAACAATATTGATAAAATTTTATGTCCTATCAATTTTACAGATTAAACATATAGGTTAACAGAGATTTCATGATTTTTTTAAAAGATCATATTGTGTTCGGATTATGCAGAAAGGAAACTTATGTTAGTTTGATAGGTCAAATATCCTTAAATAATTAAACAATTCAAGTTCTTCTTACATATGTATAAATAACACTGGGCTTTTTAAGGATGTACAACACACCCACCTCCAAAAAATTCCTGTCTTTTAATTTTCGTTACTTTTGTATGTTTTATACAAGAGTATATCTACTATGTGTATGCACATTTTGGACAAAATCGTTCGAGTCGTATTTGGACAGAAAGTTCCAAAAGTTACCCCCCCCCCCCCCGCCCTTTAGCTGTTCACGAGGAGAACGCAGTACAGTTAAGGTGCCAAATGGAAATATCGGCGAATTTTTTAGATAGAAAATACATTCTTTACAAGGATATGCGTTTCTTTTTAGGACTTTACTATTATCGGACAAATGGAATTTGGTTGAAAACTACATGTTGAGGACGATCAGATTTTTTATTTAGACTTGTCACGTGATGTGGTAGTCTCATGATTTTAGCAAATATACCTGAAGTATTGAGGTCATCTATAAATTCTAATATTGCAAGGGCATAACCAAGTTATAAATCTAAGTTTAACATATAATTATTTTCAATACTCTTTGTAGTTTGTGAAAAGTGCTGCGAACCTATATAGATTCTACTATGTAATTGCTAAAATTACATTTGTTAGACTGTATGTTGAATATTTTGCTGGTCAAGTACATTAAATATAGATATAATTAATTCATTTGCAAGATTTCAACAGGTTCGCAGCACTTTTCAAATATCTTCATACTTCTTGTGTTTTATGAGTAAAAGCTTGTCATAATTCATTGAGGGTATGCCCTTGCAATATATCGATTTATAACGACCCTTCTATTACCCTTCAATGAATCTGCATACAAATATACGACAGTATAGCTTGTCTATGGAATGTACGGGAAGTATATGAAAAAAAATCATAAAATAGACATCGCATCCAAGTTAATGGCCTCTTATATATCTACAATTTATAATTCATTTAATTACAAAATACATTTTTCATTGCATAAATATAACTTGATCCGCCTCTCACTGCATACAAACTGCGTCAATTTTTTCGATATGACGTCACATTGACAAGTGCATTGCGATCAGTGAATTGTTTATATATTGCTGTGTGGGATTTAACCAACGACAATAATGCATGTACTGGTTAGTATTGATGTAGTTTAAAGGTATTCAACAGATTAACATAGCAAATCATTTCATTTTGTGGTAATTTGAAGAACTTGTATTTTTGTGTGATGTCATAGTAAGCATTTCCCGTATAAATTAGGCCCCGCCTCCTTACTGCAGCCTTAACTGTGCTGCGAAGAAATTTTCAATCAACCAACTATAAAATCCTTGATTTTCAAAATTCTCCAGATAGTCTGGCTGTCAAACTTCATCGACTAATTCGTTTGACCATTTAACACACAAATAAAGTAATTTTGTAGAAGTGTATATCGCCACAAATTTTTCTGAAGACCTTAAAGTGAAAAACTATGGTTTGTCTAAACCTTGAAAAATGCATATTTTTTCAATTTTAAATATTTTTGAAAAAACCTATCGTTTAATTCTGAACAAAATACTTTCTTTCTGTAGCTGGTTGCAAAAATAATCTTCATTTTTTGGGTATTTTTTTTTAACGACCCGTTTTGAGTTTATAGCGGAAAATCACCCCCTCCGCCTTACTCCGTAAATTACGTTTCTCAAGCGTCTTTCAGACTTGGGGCGATATAATGGTACGTGTATGAATCTACAAATGCACATAAAAGAATCCAAGTTGGAAAATATCTTTTGCTTTAAAAATGATATTTACATATTATTTTATCAGAGTTTTCAGATGTAAAGTTACAGGCAATTTTTTTTTATTACGACGCCCCCTTTCCCCCTTCCTTTTCTTTTTTGCCACACAGACTATTCGAGCTTGATCAAACGTCGGGTATATTGCAGATGTATTTAGTCCATTGAATTCCTGAAGTACTAATTTGCTAACTCGCGTGTGCATATTAAATATTGACTACTAGTATGTTTTAAATTAGGTAAAACATTCTTAAATAAGGATTTTATGCCAATCTGTACAGTGACCGTATGTAGTCCACATATACGCATGCATATTTCATACCTGGATATGAAATTCAACTGTCATTGAAATTTACATTTATTTGATGGATTTTGATTTTATTTATTGTTAAAAGTGAACTTACAGTGGCGTATGTTCAACTCTCCTGTGATATAAATGGTTATTTATACTTTCAAACAATAACTTAAGGAGTGTGTGGGGATCCCTCCTCCCTACACACATACGCACAAACACAGGATATTGTATGCATACTTACGTAGCTTCTATAGATAAAATGAAAATTTTGTATTCGTCCATATAAACTTCAAAGTATCAAACTTTAAATTCTCTATTTATTTTAAAATAATTCATGTGTACAGTGATATACCGGTAAAACGTTTTGTTTTGAATCGAGGAAATGCGAACCGACACTGTTCACAGTGACAAGAGGTCGGACAAGTTTGATGCAGTGAGATATTCATGAATTCAAATAATTTCTGTAAACAAAATTTTTTGCTTCAGATACTTACTTTGTATTTATTATAGCATTCATTTCTCGAATTCAACCCGGTCTGGTAAATGTATCTGTGTATTTGTGAAAAACAAAATTGTTCGGAAAACAGGGGGAATAACTCAACTAAAGGAAGGGAAAACAAAGTATACATATTCCACATTTTCAGAGTTGTTCCTCTTCGACCAGTGAGCTTCTGAGAACAACGTCGATAATTACATTGTAATTTTTTTTTTCTTATTTGTTTGTTTGTTTGTTTTGTTTTGTTTTTTTTGTTTTTTTGTTTTTTGTTTTTTGTTTTTTGTTTTTTGTTTTTTTTTTTTTTGCTCTTTTCTGGTTTTGTTTGTTTGTTTCTTTGTTTTTCTTTTGTTTTTGTTTAATACATATAAGAGAAGAACAAAGCAATATTTATTTAATGTCAGGATAGACAGATAGACCTGTAATCGGAATGTTATGAAGCCAACTGTACTATGTAAGGGGAAAAAACAATGCAAAATAAACATTTTCAGCTGAAAATGCTGTGCTTAGATCACGGATACGATTTACATAATATGAAAATAAAGAAAATTTGTTTCTTCTTTTTCTAAAAAAAATCTATGATAGAATTTGGTACTCATAAAGAAATCACAATCAAGCCCCTAATTCTAATTTATACATCGGGATCGGATCGCTCGTCATTTTGACGCTTTATTATTAACGTCAAATTTGACGTCACGTTAAACGTTTAATTGAAATCGCAAGAGTTATCTACCCAACTGTATTGTACGTCTTTAAAATACATTTTTGTGAATTATAATATATATAATTATAGTTTCATCATGCACTGTCTTGCAGGTCTTCGCAAGTAGTGATTGCACTGAGCTGCATTTACTTTTATGAACACGAATTGAAATCTTGGAAAAATTTCAAAAGTTATAAATACTAAGAGTCTTTTGTACATTCTTGGGAACATTAGGATATCGTTAGAAAAATAATTGCCATTATCAATGCCAGTGAGTTATGATGTGACTTTTTTTTCTATTTTCATAGTCCGCTGATGTGCTGCCGAGGATTTAAATACATTGAAGAAGAAAATAAATGTTTGCGTAAGTCTATTTACCTGAGTTCAAAAAACATGTATCATGAAGGAAGCCAAAACATAAAACATCATGTTACATCATGTTACAGTGTAATTCTTTTTCTGGATTTAGCTTGTCAGTATCCTACATTTGGATTAGAATGCAAAGAAAACTGCACATGTCCTAAGGAGAATTGTAACATGTTCAAGGGATGTTACACATTGGTTATTACAAAAGGTTAGCAAAACTATATATATATATATATATATATATATATATATATATATATATATATATATATATATATATATATATATATATATATATATATATATATATATATTGGAGTTATTGTCAAACACGCTTAGATTAAATGAAATCATCTATAAACATTCAGTATATTTGCATGCATTAATCTGTATCAGAATTCTAAGGTAATTTATTTCTCCTTTAATGTTTAATTTTAAATCATAAATTGATTTTTATTTTCAAAATTCAAATTACATTTTATTTGATTACATTGGCCTAAATCATATCTCACGATCTCTTACAGGAGTACAAGTATTCAAAAATGTTTAAACATCTTTGATATAATTATGTTTTCAAATATACTGTTTTTTCTCGAAAGAATCGTCGTATATGCATGTGAGTACTGCTGTAAAAATTGCAGAATTGACGTCAGAACTTACCAATAATACAACATCGACGATATCCGTGATGGACATTATGAAATCTGCGACTATATCAACAATCATTGGTGTGGAAGGTTCGAGGAGACAAATGTATTTTCCATACTTTGAGAAGCCAATATTGTTTAGTGTGATATGTCTTTCTATGTTACTGACTGTATTGTTCGTACTGTACATATTGACATGCATGTTTCAAAAGATCAAAGTACAAATTACCATAGAAACCATGGAAGGAGTTGAGGCAAGAGACAACACCGATGATATAGGGTTGTATGATATAGTACATGAGTATTGACTGATATCATTCTGTAAGGAGCTTATCGCTTGTAAAAATTAGTTGTTTTGATTCTCGGAAACAACAGAGATCGGTTTTGTTTTCTGATAAGCTATACAATAAAATCTTTGATTTTTGAAAAACAACATTATGTGAAGGTTAACTCTGCCTAAAAATCAATATTATGTGAAGGATAAGTCATATATTTTTTCAAGGAAAATACTCTTCAACTACACTACACCTTCATCACTATGAAGGATCCTTTTACCCATTCTTGCAATATCAATGTTCAAAATTTCATGCACAGCTCAATAAATATGAAATTTTGAATTCGTGAAACCAGATGAACGTTCTCATAAATTAAACACAAAACTTCTTATTTTGTGTTAAATTTGAATTTACATTTTTTTCTTTGAATTTCACGAGATCGTGCAATTGCACTAATGGGGTTCACGTAGTTATGTGATCGAGGCAGAGCAGGTAAAGTCAGGTAGCAAACGAAAAAAAAAGATTTCTTGAATCCTTGTGAAATATGCGGAGATAACTGCTTAGTTCATTTACCTTTATACACCATATGCCCTTCATTTATTATTTTCTTTTAAATACACATTGCTAGGTATCTTTATTGTTGCGCACCATGAGCTCGTCTTGATTTTACCGGAAACAAAGAGAGACAACTCAAACCATCATGATTTAATTGTATAAAAATATCAAAGTTTTTATTTGAAGCACATAAAACAGAACAAAGTGTAAACGAGTTAGAATTATAAATCTTAAATAAAAATAAAAAAAAATACTTAAAGTGAAAATATGAATGCAAGTCACTGTGAAATTAAAAAAAATCGTATTTAAAACCATGCATTTTATTGTAGACTACGCAAGTCAACCGTTATAAATTCCCACTTCCTTGAATTCTATTCCAATATAAATCTATAGCATCCAGGGACTGAGCTGAATGGAATTAGCATTACTCTCGTACATACGATGTTTATAATTTACGCGTCGTTTTCTCTGAAATTTTACGCGTTTAAATTTTACGGATCAATAAAACTCGTAAAAATGAGTAAAAATTAGCAGCACTTAAAAAATACCCGTTATACGGTAAATAAACAGATTCATTGGTCTTGTCATTAAATTCGGAAATAGATTATTTAACTCTTAAGCATTTGAGCATATATCTGTAGTCAGAAATGTAATCTATTTGTACAGGAAATTTTTTGAACGATAGTACATTTTAGTGACGTATGTTGTATAATATCTTGTGTAGTGTGAGATTACATACATGTTTATTTCGTCAACATTGACCGAACCTATATCATATTTCAATACCTGTGTATATTGTTTCACGTATTCTCTTTTTGTTCATACTAATTGTCAGACCATTATTTACGCACTGAATTGTCGACGGATTTTTCCGTTATTTCCCGATCATAACAAGGAGCACACGACGGATGTGACCGGGCGGCAGGGGATGCTCACTCCTCCATGGCACCTGATCCCACCTCTGGTGTTTTGGAGGTCTGTGTTTGCTCTGCTCCTATTATGTTTTATCTAATGGACTTTTGTAATGGACTTTTGAGCTTGAATACTGTTCGTTATCTCCATATATTTCAATGTAGAACGTTAATACTGCCATTTCAATTAGTAATGAAATGGTATACATGTGCAACTTCCGTTTACTTTCTGAAGAGTCTGCACAAACTTTTTTAAACATATATACAAAATGCACAATTTTGCATACGTATATGTGAGTTATGTTATACTTGACACTGATGATTAAACACTCTTTAAATGTATTTATCATTTGCTAGTAGAAGTGTACATGTACTGGGGAGGGGGGGGGGGGGGGCTTATTCATGTATTATCCTTGTACATGTAGTATTGACTGATTGGTAAATGTACTAAGAAAGTCAATTGATCTGATATTATTCAAATTACCCAAAGGAAGTCTGAAGATGTCAATGATCAGTTTCGTAAACACTACAGAAAAAAAAAAATCTAATAATCAATAAAATGATAAAATGCTGTAGTTTCTTGAATAAGATTGAAAGAAATTTACTTTATAAAAAATTGTCATATATTCTAAAACTAATGTTATTGAATAAAGTAAAAAGTATCCCATAGTAAAATATTTTTATCCAATATATTTAAGGACTCACCGTCTCTCTTGTTTGGTATGTCATTGCATTAACTCAGTTGGACACCTGGGATAGTTTGCATAACGGGCGAATCCCCTTATCCATAAAGCATTCTATTTTTCTTAGAAATCAACACAGATCTTTCACTTGAATTCAGTTATAAATGTCGAAAAAATAATAACACACTTAACTTTCATAATTGTTTCAAAGTGAAAATCGTTTAAAGTGTAAATATTAACAATAATGTGAACAATGCTACCAGTTTAAAGGACTGTCATAATACACAGAACGAAAACATAAAAGGAAATGTATCTACTGCTTCTGATTCTGTTTCCTTCACTCACGTCGCCAAGCGCTCCAACTCTGTGTAAAAGAGAACGAAATTGAAGAGGTAATTTCAATAGGAGCATCACATGTGGGACAAATATGGATTAATATTCTTTAATTCATTATTGTATAGAAGGAAATATTTCATATTTATTGGTTTGATAATTCACGAGGTGAAAACGTTCCATGTAATTCTAATGAAAACAAATAGTTTTCTTAATCTAATGTCCTTTGATATAATGTTTCAAGAAGTTTAAATATTCTCATAGAGCTTTGAATGTAGTGGTTTAATGAAATGAAATTATACCTAGGTTTAAATTGCTGTTCCTGCTGTTGTCGTTGCTGTTGTGTTTCTGTTTGAGTTCCTCCTTTCTCTGGTATTTTTACTTTTTTATATACTTCTTCATAGCATTCTTGGTCTGGTGATCATGAGAATTAAAAAAAAAAACTTAAAAAAAAAATTCTTGATAAACGATCTTTCCATTTTGAGTAGGAACTAGGGTTATTATGTAAGAAATTATTTACATATATTTTATAATTTTTTTTGGAAATAGTTATACATACACTTGTATGCTTCTGTCGACATGTAGTCCCTTGTACATGACTTACAGTTGGGAATATAAAATTCTTGGATTTTACCTCCCCTTGCATTGTATTCCGCACAGTGACCTAAAAAAGCAGCTTACGTTTAAGAAAATGAAAAATGAAAGTAAATGAAAGTTTAAGGGGAAGAAGGACCTTGAGCTGAAAAAATACTTGTCATTCAATTTTTTTCATATTTTGTATATTTCTTATTTAGTATGTCCCACATATCTTAAAGCAGTCATATCATTAGGTTTCTTGCCTTATCTATACAAGAACCGATGGTTTACACGTTTTGCACTGTATATAAACGGAAACTATGACGTAGATAAACTGTCATGTGACCATGTGTCCTTCGTCCCCGTAATACTTAAAATATACCTTTTATGACTAAAGATTCGTAAAAGAAAATACTTATATAATAGTGTTGTACTTTGCATGCACTATGCCTAAATAGTAGTCAGGGTTTGACACATGGTGCACGAGCCGGAGGCGAGTGCACTATGTGTCAAACCTTGACTACTATTTAGGCATAGTGCATGCAAAGTACAACACTATTGTTATTATTATGCTGACTGTTGTATAAAAACGACAATATTTTCTCCATTTCCAATGTTTCATCACCACTTACATCCATGTTAGTACACCCCTATTATGACGTCACGTTGTGCTACATGTACGTCATAATCTTTTTTCTTTAATTTTGAATGTTCCATGTACAGATAGTTTCAGAGAATTTTAGCTGAGTGAAGGGTAAAAAATTGCAAGATACTGATTTATAAAACTTATTTTGTTTATTTTTTTTCTTTTAGTGTAAAATATTTGAAACTAAGTTTATATGTATTATAATACAGTGCTATAGATAACGGCGTCTGTGGCATAATCGGTAGCGCGTCGGACTGACAATCTCGGGGTCGTGAGTTCAATCCCCGGCGTGAGCGCTGTCGGATTTTCTTCAGAAAAAGAAGCCGTGCTCTATTTCGGCATAGTATGCTTACGCTATATAAATCCTTAGACCACTATGCGAAAATAGTTGGGTATTGATTATATAGAGACAAACTGACAGGAAGCATAATAAATATTAATATTTTTGCAAAACTTTTTGCATGTTTTTTTTTAATTATATTGGTAGACTTTCGAAGTAGTCTGTCTAATTCCAAAGCGACTTGTACATTACTGTGTTCAGAATGTGTCCTTTGTTTATTCGATACTTTGATTATCTGCATTACTTCAACCATTATAAAACATCATTTTGCACAAGAACAAATTAAATAGCCAAAAAAAAAAAAAAAAAAAAAAAAAAAAAATCAAGTGGTTTTGTCGGCAAACTAATGGATTTTGTTAAATATATCCCCTGTATATTAGATAATATATAGGGACACTTGATAAAGTATTTCTTAAAAAAAAAATAAATAAAAATAATAATAAAAAAAAAAGAATCGGATGACTTTGGTATTTCCTATCATTTGTCATATATATTCTGCTAAAATATATTTTTTAAATAATTTGATGGTTGTTACAGTATTTAATGACTCAAATTTCACATCGAACTTCTCCTTAATAATTAATCGTTAATTTTATTTATAACCCTATGTTTGTTTGTTGTTGTTGGTTTTTTTTTTCCCCTTTTTTTCATGACGGTGCACCTGTCTCTTTCGACGATGAAAACATTAAATTTTAGCTCATCTCTTATTAACATTGACTTATAATGATAAGTATTCAACGAGGACACCTTATTTAATATTATGTACTCTACAACTTGTAATAAATCTCCTCATATTATACCAACAACCAGACAAAACCTTAAAAATACGAGTACTAGTTTTAGTTAATGTTTTATATTTAAATGTTTTTCCATAAATATGACATAAATAGGTCTAGACATTATCCGTTTAATGTTTGAGATGTTTCCTTTAGAACGATTTAAGGATTTTATGATAAACAGTCTCAGTAAAAAATAGTAAAAACGGATACCTGAACGGATACGTGTAGATGGAGCACATACCGCCACCGTTATATTTTGCCAAGGATTAATAAGACAATGATATTCTAATGTTCTTGTACATTTCCCTTCATACTGCAGACAATTAAACTTCTCTGCAGCCTCGTTCCAGGATTCTTTATCTGATGGACACGAATCCACGACTTCTCTTGTTAATTTGGATATGCCACAAAATTCAGAGTCTAGGGGAGATACAGCCGTTGTGTATGTTACCTGAAATATGCATTCAAAATGTGAACTACTATCAGGAGAGAATAATAGTTAGAGAACGGTCCGAATTTATCTTCCTTAGATGAACAAATTATCTACAAAACAGGTAATAAATATGAATATTCAATTCATCAATCATATATAATATACACTTATACAATATATTAAGGAAATATGTGTGATTTATTTAGCATGAAATACGGACATAAGCAAACTTTAAAGGAGAGATCAGGTGCCATGAAGGAGCATATTTAACATCACCTGTCGACCGGTGAGACCTGCCTTGTGCTCTTTTTCGTGATCAGGAAAACGGAGAAGTCCGTTGCCAATTATGTATGAAAATTATAACCTAGCATTTTTTTTTATGAAACATTGGTCTTAACGACAATATATATTTTGAAACAGGGTCTTTGTATCGACAATAGAAACGTATAGGTAGGACGTTCGCTTTGTGATCGGGAGGTCTATATTCGACTTTCGATCCTGGCGCCTCTTCAAACTGAGACGTATCACATACTAGGTAGTGATTTTTTTTCCTTTACAAAGCATTAAGTATTTGTAGTGGAAGTCATGCGTGTTTGGATATGATAAGAAAAACGTAAGTCCAGTGTCACGGTAGGCGTTGGTATAATATATAAAAACTCTCACTGTTCAATGACCGTAACTGCCAAGTATAGGTCTAAAATTAAAGCCCTCATCGGTTTTGGTAATTTCTAGTATAAGTAACAAATTCTCGAACGGGGCACAAAACATGAATTATCAATTTATAATGGAATTTGCGAAATGTTGATTTCAAATAATGTTGTAGAATGTGTTTTGATATAAACAGGAAGCTTTTAAAAAAAATATTTCTTTAATTATATCAAGACCAATTCAATATGATTAACATGGATACAAATCATAAAAATCTTAGAAATTAGAAACAAATACATCTATTTAATCTCATTTTCTAATACCATTTCCACTTGATTTTAAAAATCTAAGATAAAATGTAGGAAGGAAAAACGATTTTTAACATGAATACATGTACGTCATAGCCCCTCATGCGACTGTCTCTATTTGCTAATTAAACAGACTGCCTGTGTGAAAATATCCTAAATCAAAGTTTAAATAAACTTAAAATTGGCTAATTCGGGAGATCTTGAAGAGTAACACAATTTTTAATTGAAGTTCTTAAACTGTTTTTGTGTGTACAGTTTGTACGCGTTCGGTGAGTTCCTCTTAACTTACATCCATGTGACAATGGTATAGCTTTTATGCTTAAGGTGCATAATTTACAACCCCACCCCCCCCCCCACCCCAAAAAAAAATAAAAGTGATTATTTACTCATACCCAATAATTCATTATAATTTATTCTTTTACTACTGACCGCAAACTGTATAAATAATACGGTAAGGAATATTGATATTAGATCGTCCATTTCCATGCCGAATCATTCCTAGTTCCAGGCTTTCTTTTCTGAAATAAAAATGAAAACATATACAATGCATATGGGTACATACCTCTAATTATTTTCAGAATCGGTAGGGGAAGAAAGTAGTCCACTTAAACGAAATAATTCCTTAACTTTCAAGCAGTATACAAAATAAGTAGGTCATCTGATTTAAAGATGCATGATATATATGAAAGAAGAGATAATTCCACGTTCAAAACCATTTTTATGTTTGTGTTATCTTTGAAAGGAAAGGAATTGAATTGTTTGTAATGTGCATGACCTGACCTTGGGAATTACCCTAGTTTTACTTTCATTTTCAGATGCTTTTGCGAACATTTGCATTTTGCTAGAAAACGAATCTGACATGCCACCACGCGATTTTAACCAGTGAGGGAAAATTTGACGAGCTTTCATTTGAGGGGTGTCCCATCCTTCAATGAAAATTAGGGGAGGAGCTGTGTGAGAAAACGTTAACATTGTCGCCTTTGGGAATTGTATTAGTGGACTGTACCCATATACGAGTGATGATAGATTTTAGAAACAGTTCCAGTCAAAGAATAAAGAATTTGTAAAGGTGATACTGTCACAAATTACTGTTTTAGGTGCAATCCTATATCAAAGTTTGATATATAGATATTTAGTCATGGGTGTAAAGCAAACACTTATTTATATGCATTGTGGTATTACATTCTGACTATATCATTATTCGCTATTCCTGCACTTAAAATAACCAAAAATCACCCAAAAGGCTTTATCTAGAATCATTATCCATACAACATGTTAAATTATCAATACAACATGTGAAAAGTAACAGGCATTCTTGAGAAATGAAAAGTGCCCCAAATAGCATTTCATAGCCAAGTGAACGAACTCTGGTAAGAAAAAAAAAAATGAAAATTTGCTTAATCAAAGGATAGCCATGTCACAATTTTGGAAAAGGAACTCTCTATACGTACAACTTCCAAACATCATTGGTATTGTACAACTCTAGTGGCAACTTCATGCATTCATATAACTCGATGTCGGATACAGCGACTTAAAATTTCACAGCATAAAGCTAAGTGTTTGACCTTTGTTACAGAACACAATTAAGATATAAAATCATATGTAGGTCTGACACATACGATGAGAAGTGATTACCAACCTGTCCAATTTTATTTGTATCGTTCAGTAAACCCAGAAAAAATTTAATGTTTATCCCCTCGAATGCATTATCTATTAATCAGAAAGAGCTGTATAACCTCTTTGTACTTGTATTTTGATTTCACTTACTAAAGTAGCAAGTGGCACTTATTCAAACAGTGTATCTAATTACAGGTAGTAATGACAGTAGTAAACAAGTTAACTTGCGCTAAGTTTTATGATCTACAACATGGAACTAGTTAATGACATCTGATATCTGGGTAATTCTAAGTAATGCTTCTTTAAATTTTTCATAGAGATAAGCTTATGTTTTTATCAATTGATTGGATCTTCAAACCTTTTCTTTTTTTGCATAACGAAACTTAAGAAATGCATTAAAATACGCGTAAGCTTTAGCTGTTTGAATCTTGACCTCTCAGAGAATTGCGTGCATTAATTAAAACTTATGACTTGTGTTTTACATATTCAGATCTTTCAAAATGACATTGACATTCAAACTTAAATTTATAAAGGGGACCACTCAAGCATATACCTTCGGTATTTCACAAGCATTTTATCTGCATTCTTTGTAAAATATAATTTTATCCCTCATTCTTTTGATTGCATGGACTAATGTAGATCAGATATGCATTTTACAGCAAATTAGAATTAATCTTTGAATATTCTTAATTCTATACACCCACACTTGAAACAACAGAAAGAGGGTTGCAATCATTAACAAGATCTTCAGACGTCCTACTTCGTTTGACCTATCGTTAACAACGTTTAACTCATATTGATATAGAAATCTAAAACAACTCTGCATTACTTTTTAAGTCAATGCATAATGATAAAGACCGCAAATTCTGCGCAAATTAAAACAACCTGAATTCATATACAAGATGTAAGGGGTTTGTAATGGTTCTAAAAATATCAAATGCACTTACCTGTACCTTTTTGTCACAACATTTATTTAAATTTTGAAAGAAAATAGAGAAATAGGTCAAGGAAATAATCTACACTATAAATATCGCGTATCACATGGGCAAGGTAACTTTTATATAGAATGTAAAGCACATTATGGCAAATAGTAGCGAAGAGGTCTACTGGCTAAGTATTGTTTCTAAATTTTTGGCCCGCATTTAAGTAAACTATTTTGATTTCTTTTTAACCCAAAGTTATTTTGTTTTGAAATTATTGATAATTACTTGCATACTTACCAATATTTATCACGAATAAGTGAAATTAGAATGGCAAATTCATAAATGTACACAAATTAAAAATAACCAGAAATTTCTGACACACTTGTTAATTTAAGCGCAATAATAAAAAAGTTCCCAAAAGCTAAAAACAAGCATAATTGACATTAAAGAAACACAAAACTTGTCCTTTATCAATTAAGTTTCAAAAATACAATTCATGAAATTTTCCTGAACCTCAATGAGTAAATAAATTTCTATTCTGAATTTCAGAATATTTAAGAACTTTAAATTCTTTCATATATCTTTTTAACATCGTATTTATCTTTTATTTTATTTGTTTATTTATTTATTTATTTACTTATTATTTAGATTGTTTTAGCTCATCTAAGCCTCTTTAGATACATGTAGTGTGGATTCAAGTTTGTTTAAATTATGACCCATGAGGGTACGGTTGGGCCACAATGAAAGAGGAAAGTTTTATGATTAAATTAATTGGAAAATAACCTTTAAAAAATATTTTTATCAAGTACAGGAAAACCATGATTAGTCCTATCTAAATAAAAGCATCCTCAGATTAGTAGATTCCAATTTTAAAAAGTCATGACAACCGTGGTTAGGGATGGTCCATAATGGGTGATCATAGTTTTACATACATGTAGACATTTTTCTGACATCAGAGAACTTATTCGTACAAGGCGGAAACAGACGAAAATGTTCTTGTTTCCTAACATTCAGAAAAGATAAAAAGTGTCAAAATCTAAACAAAATCTATCTCACTTCCTGAAACTGTATCGGCTTTGCTTGCAGTATAATCAGGAAATTGTGAAAGGAAGGAAATCTACACATATAGTATTAACTTATGCTGACTTAAGTGAATTTGGAAAAGCGGATAACACGAACTCACTATAAAGACTCATCAGAGGATATGGTGTCACGTATTGCTGGTTTCTCAGCAAAATTGTAAGCTCCATGTATTAAAAGAGAGGTTTTTACAAAAGTTACATCAACTCGTTTTTCGCCTAAGACTTCCTTTCTGCCGTCAGACATTTGCAGATGAAATTGAGAAAAAGAAAATCCCAAAGGTGCTCTTTATTCTGGCAAATATTGAGAAATTCTCCTCAAATATCTGTGGATTTGTCATCATTCACTCAAATACCATCGAAACAATCTATGTCTAATTGATGCTTTGAATGCAATTTTCAGTCTTTCAGATACTGAGATAAAATTGCCTTTTTGTTACCCTAAACTTTTCAACACGAAAAGAGCTAGGTTCACATACAATTTATCATTGAGTCAAATGCTGACTGATGTTTTTCATACTAATTGTCATGCCATTATTTACACAGTGAATTGTCGACGGATTTTTCCGTTATTTCCCGATCATGACAAGGAGCACACGGCGGGTGTGACCGGTCGGCAGGGGATGCTCACTCCTCCATGGCACCTGATCCCACCTCTGATGTTTAGAGGTCCGTGTTTGCTCTGCTCCCATTTTGTAATGGATAATGGACTTTTGAGCTTGAATACTGTTCGTTATCTCCATATATTTCATTACTCCATAAAATGGCCCTGTCCATATACAGTACCAATTAACTGACAAAGTCCCGATGTCCATTTCAAACATCAATATAAAGTAGAAACTTAGTGCTTTCATTTGCTGTAAAAAAAGTTTCCTCTTTGAGTCCATATATTGAAAAACCTGCTTTGTGAAACTGTAACGACCTTGAATTTTGAAGAAAATGGGTGTATTTGAGCACCTTCTGCAAAGGATTAAAATATGAGCCCACCTCCCGATCAACAAAAAAAAAAAAAAAAAGAGAGAAATATAATAATAAAACATGGATTATAATCTTCTGAAACAGTACTTTCATTATATAATTCAACATTTTAGATCAGAGGTTTGAATCAATGCAAAATGTTGGAAAACAGTTTTAAAATATGGCCGTTTCTGAAGAAATTTTCAGGAGTGATGGTAAATGACGCAATTCATGACGACATAACACATGAACTAACAAGAAGATAACATCACTTGATAGATATGCAGTCACTAAGGGTCCAAGTAAAATATACATGCAATGCATTTTCAACTTAAACTGAGCATTTTTGATTTGTCAGAAATTCACAGAGTCAAAAAAGGTCATAAGTGAACCTTGTTCTTTTCGAAAGAAAATTGTGTTTTTGATAGCATGGGACTATTTAGCCAATGAATCATTTAATATAAAATCCAATGAAAATACAATTATATGTGCGAAAATGCACTTCGGAAAAGAGCCTCATGCTACACATTTTCATTCAGAGAACAGTTTCTCTCAATAAGAAGGGAAATGATATTTGAAATATAATGAAAACCATTATTTTCCTTTACCTGGGTTCAATTGTGCTCTGTGTAGAAGATATGTGATTCAGACTTGAAGTGACACATAGTAAATTTTGTCATCTTAGTTCAAATTTATATATACAGACTTTTTTGTCTCTGACATTGTTACCCTAAAGGATCTTAAGGCTACTTCTTCTGACCACCTGAAACATCTCCGGGATTTAATTAAGGTTAAATAATACTCACCAGAATTTGCCCACAAGTAAGTTAACACATTGCAGACATTAGCCGTTGACTTTTGAATAACAAGATACAGGCTTGCTTACAACGTAATATTTACCTCTGATGCGAAGTTTAGATATGCATATCTTACAAATTCATAACAGTTTTCCAAACTAATAAAAACTTTAACCTTTGCTTTTATTCTTTCATTCTAAATCAAATAGATGTTTCTACATCACTGCAAATTATAAAAATGGACAGAATAAATGCTTGGATGTACATTTATATCTTACCTTTTTTCCATAAAATCTGTTTTGTAACTTTAGTGAATTGTTAGTCGCATCCTATCAAAGTGATTCCTGCAAAATAATGGAACAGAATGGAAAAAAGAAGAATCAATTTTAAGAATATGCAGTCGAGTCATCTATTTTGCGATGTTTCCACCTTTGGTTTTGTCCTTGGATGTTCTCCTAAAACTTTGACAATATTATTGAAACCTTTCACAGAAATAATCACTATTCGTAGTTTTGAAAATATCTTTTAAAGTTTTCACCAACGTAGAGAAAAAAAAAATAATTTAAGAAATGTTGCTGTCACGTTGCCATTGTATGCTCCCAGTAGTTTCATTTAAAGAAAATACTTTTCCACTCTTACCACAACATATTTTTGTTATTTAAAAATTTAGGTGATTTTTATGTGGCGATGACTATCAAAAAATTGAAAATATTTGTATTAGCATTTTTTTTAAATGAGTGGTCAAAAAATGTTTTGTAAACGTTTATGTTTCATTTGTTTTTAAAGTTGTGAATTATTAAATTTCTTTATCTTCCTAATTTCTTTTTTTCCCGTAATAGTCCTAGGGTACGTAAAGGCCCGTCTATGAAGCTTTTCTGTATTATCAGTTTCTTGATATGATTAAGAATCGAAGAAATTAAATATCCTAGGCCTTAAACACTAAAACCTATTCATTATATTTTCATTTTTGCAGTTTACGGGGACGCTGCTTGAGTAATACACACAAGTACTTAGTGTAAAACATCTCTACTGATGTAGAAGAGACGAAAAACCTTCCCGTTTCCACAGCAATGAGTTTTCTGTAAATAAAAAGGATTGTATATATGCTGTGGGTGCAGTTCTATTTATCTTTTTCAAATAAAGGGAAAAAAATGTAATATTTATCAACCCCCATCTCTCTCTATCTTTTTTCTCTAACTGTTAGGAAAATAAGGGTTTTTTTTTTTTTTTTTGATAAAATAACCTGGACCTTCACAAAAAAGACCTTCATCATAAAGTTTTCAAATTGCTATGGCTTCATACTAAGTAAAAAATGATGGTTAATTAACAAGTCTCTCCTGAAGATCAACCCCTCCCCCCATTGAAACAGGGAGGTAAATAAGCAAGATAAAGAATTTACAATTAATAGGGAGATCTTATGAGTTTCGTTTATAAAATCCAGTTCCGCTGATAAGATCTGATATTATATCAGCATTCAATCTTCGTCTGTTTTGTCTATAGAAATTATAATTATTATATTAAAAATAAATTTATCTTTAAAAGTTAGTGATTGTCAGCTATATTCAATAGCAATTCCCATTTTCTGTTGAATGTATTACTTGCATATAAATAATGTCATTTAATGATACTGAGAATTATTTAAATTTAATAACCATCGTTATTATTCATTGAAAATCCACGGATCTGCTCCCGCAGTCGCATGGAAACCTCATCACTATTGAACAAAGATTTAGCAGGCCGAAAGTGTTCATGATTCTCCTTAACTAAGAAAGTTTACACACATTTTAAAATTTCATAAAAAATATCAACACCCGTCCAATGCAGAAATGTCCGATTTGAAAAGGAAAATTTAGGTATTATGGCTTCAGCCATGTTTTGATGTGAACCTTGTTTACTTTCGCTTCGCGTAGCTTTGGTTCGACAAAAACCAGCAATTTTTCGTTTGTGTGTGAAAGGAAGGGTGGTCTACAAATACTCAACTTCTTTAGGCATTGACGATAATTATACATGTAGCTTATGTTTCAGTGCGGGGTGATATATGCTGTTGCTTGCAATAGCAGACTTTCTAGTTATTATGTTCCTTAAACGACGTTGGAGAACATATTTTTTTTACTGCAGTTTCTTATTAAAATCTTTCGTCTTCAGCGGAAGACCTTACTGTTATTCTTACTGTTATTCTAAGGTTTCTTTTCAACTATTTTTACGTTTTTTTTTTCAATAAAGTTTATATTTTAAAATTGATATATTTTATAAAACTACCGATACACACCAATATCTAAACTTCACCTCGTGTCATCCTACTCACACTAAGAGGAATATCCCTTACAGCTTAGCCAGAAGAATTTGTACAATTTTGAAAAATACAGAAACTAGAAATCGAAGGTTGACAGAGCTAAAACATTTCTTCTTGCACAACATTATCCAGAAAATCTTATTCTTTCTGCCATAGATGAATCCAAGAAAGTCCCGCAACATATTTTAAGAAAGACTAGAAAAAAGGACATAGATCCCTTCTAAATCCCTTTTGTGACAACATATAATCCAAAACATATTAATAATATATTTCAATAGGCGAAAAAGAACAATTTATTAACGAGATAGTGATCTTCATCAACTTATACAGAAATCGGACTTGATGAAGTGCGATTTACATACTTAAACTAATTAATTATCTTTTTATTAATAATTATTATTAATTAATTACGATCATGTAGTAAATCGTAAATCGTACCAGAGTACACCCGACAGACCGGACTCAATTCATAGCACTCCGGATTTCTTTCTTCACAACTGTTTAAAAACTTCAAATTAAAAATGTAACACTGTAAATATTTAGTGTTTATTAGTTTAGTAGTAGTGCTAGTTGTTTTTGTTTCTCTGTTTCCTTTGTTTTTAATGACTTCTTTATATATATATATATATATATATATATATATATATATATATATATATATATATATATATATATGGCGTACTTCACCAAGCGGCTAAACATCCGGCGAAGGTTGGAAACCATCTGATGACGATCGGAACTTACAGGCCAGGACCAAGTGTGAAATTGCATAGTGATGGGCATGTATAAGAGTGCCAAGCTTACATATATATGTATTTAATTGTATGTACATCTGTATAAATCTTGTTACTAATGATTAGAATTTTTTTTTTCTTTTACAGATCAAGTTCAGATATCTGGTATGAAGATCTGTTTACTTTTAGTTTCACATTATTATCGTTACATAAATTTGTAAGTATTCATACAATTATCATCTCTGTAGCAATTTTAAAGAGAATAGTCTATTGTCAGATCACAATAACATCACTGATACGAGGTCATATAATCACTTTGACCTCAAATCTTCTAATCCTCTGATCTGAACGTTAGCCCTTAACTCTGCATTCAATTGATGGGATTTTTAATAAATCGTTAAATATTGTCTATTTTTTTTTTTTTTAAATCACAGTCGTATGTTAACTGCATCACAATTGAGTATAAGTTCTTGTATTTTATTTCATAATATTTCATTTCACAGGCTACGTGGGAATAATAAAGTTATTTCAATATTTATCTCGCATTTATCTGGGAATAAAAAAAAAAAAGAAAATTGTAATATTTTGCAGCAAAACATTTAGCACAGACCTTAAATGACAATAGAAGTGAATAAACCAAGGATTAGTGAAAGTGTTTAAAAAGCAGGTCAAGACTGCAATAAAAATATGAAGACTTTGTTAATCACTATATGTATAAGAATTATAACAAACCTCATAAAGGTTGCACCTTTCGATTAGATATGCTATTTGTTGTCCGCTTTTGTGTTCACACAAGTGCACGGAAGTAAATTGTGATATCAAGACACAGCAATTACAACAGTTTCCTTCTGGCATGGGTGATTGATATTGCTTATGAAGGATAGTTTCCTTTTTATTTAAACAGCAACGTTATCGGCATTACGTAACATTTTGCTAGGGAAACATTACTATGGACAAGCTAACCCTACATCCTTGAACATAAGTTTTCTTAAGAAATCAATAGACTTGTTATTTTTTAAAACCATTTTTACCGGAATTTCCGTACTAAATTCCAAAAAAATATCTTTGAAATAGTGACTATGGCAGGCAGGGGAAGTTGATGTTTCAGGGTCATCAACAACCTCGTTTAACGTTAGCATTCCATAACTTCTATGGTCATTATAATGATCTTGTTTGCAAAAATAACATATCAATGGCTTGTATTTTAAATGACATATTTAATACCAATTGTAAGGTCTTTGTTTTTATATGTCATTTGACTACTAAGGAATTTCTGTCTACCTGATCGATACTTATGGCTCAAGGCGGGTGTGACCGGTCGACAGGGAATGCTTACTCTTCCTAACTATTTAGGTATACCCTATTCTACCACTGAAAATTCCAGTGGTCCGTGAATTATGCTCTATTCCCAGATCTGTATGTCTGTAGTGTTTTTTTTGTTTTTTTTGTTTTTTTGTTTTTCGTTTTTTGTTTTTTTTTTTTTTTTTTAGATCGATCAATGTTCATTATTTTTTTTTATATATAATTCATGTGAGAAATACCAGTAGTATTTACACAAAAAAACTTGGTTTTTGTTATATTTTCAATTTTTACTTAATTTTTATAACAGAAATGAATTAATTAAACATGACTTACAACGATTTGCTATTAATATTGATATTTTGATTCATAAGAACTTTATACTTTTCTTGTATTTAAAAAAAAAAAACCTAATTATTCTAATAAAAAGACTTTTAATTTCGAATTAAAACTAATTTTTGATGAGCTTAAGATTACATTTTACTCACCCTTTTTCCTCGAAAAATCGAAACAACACCAGATCTTTTAGAAATCCTATTAAATGTAGAGGGAAGAAAACATAAGGAGTAAATGCACCACTGCGCTGACAGAGATTTTGGCGTAAGCAGCACAACATATGTATAAGATGGAATGCTTGTTATATAAAACTGCTGTTATCTACTCCTTCCCCGAAAATATCAGAATGTACTGATAACATGCTGTTCACATAAGGACCTTTATATTCATTCCGCGTTACATTGCAACATGTTTTTCCATTTCACATAATTTAAACTGTACTGCGTTTTGATTTAAGCACTAGCATCGCAAAAATCATATTTATTTACCATATACATGAATCTTTATATAAAAATCTATTAAAAAATTACTCTGACTAATCATGAAGATTTTTTACTTTATTTTTTTTTAGTTCACAAATTTGAACTCTCCTATTAATTAAGATACGAATGCTCTTTTTTTCTTTTCAAGCTACCAATGATGATTAGCTCTAGACAACATCAACAGTTACTATTACATACAGTTTTGTCCACTGCTTGAAAAAACACCTTTACAAAACTTTACTTGCAAAGTAAATCTCATTAAAGGTGCTCCAAAAAGCAAGGTCATCTTTGTATTAACTTTACAAAAAGTAAAGCTGAAAAGGTAACCTTTACTTACACGAAAAGGTAATTAAATTTAACCTTTCACCTTTTTTTAATGCTGCTTTAAAGTTTATAATATATATATATATATATATATATATATATATATATATATATATATATATATATATATATATATATATATATATATATATATATATATATATATATATACATGTAATTATTTTCCAACCAGTGATGAATAGAATATTTGATTTCCTTAATAATCAGGGACATATTATTCATGTTTATCTCAAATGAACAAAGTTTGACTCCCCCCCCCCCCCCATCTCCACTACAAAAGGAAATAAACTGACTCAGAAACTCTTAATTCAGTGAGGTAAAGGAAATAATGGCATCAGACAAGGAAAAATTATTAATCATTTTTTCAGCTGAGATGAGATTATATCTTTTAAACATTTTTGAGGTTAATATATTTTAACCCCCCCCCCCCCCCGCATCAAACAAAAAAAAAGTCGCCCCTTTATTTAGCTGTCCTAAATCTATAAAAAAAAAAATAATGATTTTTTTCATTTTAATTTATTATATCTTGACACTATACACAGTGGTAGTAGATGCAATAAATTAAGAGGTGACCCCTCTCCCCACCCCCACCCACCCCCACACCCCCCAGATGTTACGTCTGAAATGTTAAACGACTGTTGTTCAATATCTTGAAAGACAGAAAACAGTTATACACAACAATTAAGCACATTTTCATTACCTTGCAGTCAGTGTCGAGCGACACACGTAAACAACATCCCGCAATTTCTTTGTTTATTCTTGGCGGTGTACCGTGCGCTGATACTAAAACAAATCCCACGGAGAAAATAAGTCCCACATGAGTCCTACATGAGTCCCACGGCAAAAGGGCTTTTATATATATACAAAAGTTGATTATTATGAAAGAAAATGATATTATATTACCATTTAGCACAAAAAATATTCGAAAAGTTACTTTGATACGATAAATAGTCGATTTTAAAACGACCGACCACGCTCAAGAACGACAACTCTAGCGGTCCTGCTAAATAGCTTCTTATCGGTCTAACTTTAGAATTTCTTTCATTAAAAAGAAATAATAAAGAAAAGAAAGGAAAGATAATAAGTTGATATTTTATGTTAATAGACCTTGAGAACGGCATTTCACTATTATTATTAGATTTTTATTGTACCATTACTAGGGCTGGGACGATACAACTTTTTCTATATCGATACGTATCCCGATATTTGAGCCACGATACGATATGTATCACGATATGTTTAATTGGTTATAAATTCTTTTTTTATATTGAAATGAACAAGATATTTCTTCACAAATAAGAATAATTTATTCAAAGAAGTTGTATATCTGTTGTAAAACTTAATTATTTTGGTCTTAATTATTATGTATTTCATATTCCTATTTATATTAAGCATATTTATTTTACATATTAAACCCAAAATGTTAAGTTAACAAAGAAAAACATTAGTCAGAATTTTTTGGGAAATATGTCGATATTTCTTCATACATATCGATATGCGTATCATCCTCACATTGAATCGATATTATCGATATCTCGATATATCGTCCCAGCCCTAACCATTACGATTTCCTCTTATATAATTGGTTCTCAAAAAATACATATATAGGATCGGAAAATAATCTGAGTTCATATAATATATATATATATATATATATATATATATATATATATATATATATATATATATATAACAAATACATAATTATCAAATATTTTTTTTTTTTTACATTTAACAAAAAGTAACACATTTCATGGCCATAATTTATTGAAAATATTTTTGCTGTTACAGGTATCCCGTTTATTGGCCAGATGTCACAGATCAAGTTCAAATGTTGTGAAGTGAAGTAATGACTGATGTAGTGTACTCTTCTATATTTATTCTCATTTTTTGGAAACAGTAACAGTTATTGATGTGAATCTTTTGAAATAAAAATGTATTTTCGATAAAGTGTACCAACATTAATTATACGCAAAGCGTGTACGTATATTGTGTTATATTATACAAGCGTGCAAAATTAAAATTCAAACCTTATTTATATGTTTTTGTTGTTAATTTACAAGGAAGAAAAAAAGTCTAATGATATAAAATTACAAATAAACTGATAAAGACCTAATAAAGAGGGAATATTTTAAAATATTCATATAATTTCAATTTTTAATAAAATTTCGTGGAAACACATTTATGTGGCTAAGAGTTCTACACTTTTAAAATGTTTCTTATTTTATCCCTTTTCTTTTTATCAATCATTATTTGTTTTCATAAGTTATTGATATACATGTACTACACTTTTTTTGATTATATATCTTCTTCATCCATTCATGAGCTAAGAGTTTTACTCTTTTAAAATATTTATTTTATTTTATTTTATTTTTATTTGTTATTGATACACTACAAAAATATTTTTTTTTAAAGATATATATATATACATAAATAAAAATTAAATAATTTATAAAGAAAATTAGTCTGAAATAATACAATGACTGTCTCTCTGTGATGATCTGTGTACTGTGTATGTAGGTGCTCCCTTTAATATGAAGTTCTTTATTTCTGGAAAGGATCAAAGTTAACTTCTATAAACATTTTTTAAACATAATCTAAAATATTTGTTCTTTAACACAGCTAAAATGTTCCAATTCTCTGTGGGACTTAGACCTCTCACGCAAGTGATACGCAGATAGAGGAGTTATCGTTCTTTGATTTTATAATCCATCAAAGCACGCCTTTAAAACCTTTTTTTCCGTTTTTTTTTCCTACCAACTATGTAAAAACAGTGATAATCTATAAATAAATGTTTTTTAACTCTATCAATATATCAAAGTTACCGGTGGGACTCATTTTCTTCCGTGGGACTCATGTGGGACTTATTTTCTCCGTGGGACTTGTTTTAGTATGTCCCGTACCAGTGAAAACTGTCGCTAGTGCTCAGAGTCGCTCTAAAAATAGATATCCCAAGCGGTAGCCTTGCAATTCGTCACTCGTATAATTATACCCAAAGATAGTTATAACCACGTAATATAGATGTTATTGGTGTTTAAAATGAAACATTTTTAAGCAAAAAAGTTATAACACTCTTGAACATTTTGTATTATTCAATATTTACTTCAAAAATCCTGAAAATAAGTGTATGGTCATTTCTTAATTGACATCGCGATCGGCCTGTGGGCTTCCTTTATCTTCATCTCTTACGTGAGAAGTTGGACAAATTGACTAATTAAATTAAATTAAATATTAAGACAGTTTATAACCTCTTATTGAAAAAAGGCAACAACAGAATCGTACAAGGAATTATATTTTGAATCGTCGAGATCGGCATCCAACGTTTATTAGGCAGTAGGCAACCGCATACGAATCGGCATGTATTATGATTTGTAAAGTCGATTTATTGTAAGTAAGACAGTGTTTTAAAAGATAAAATAAGAATAATTATCATTTTTTATTAGCGATAAGTTAATTGTAAGCACGAATAAATTTAAATCTTGATCACACAAGTCTAATGCTAATTCGAAACAAAGTTGTGACGCGAATTTCCTCTATTGTGTTTATAATACTGAAAAGCACTGACCTTTTTTCATATAATTTAGGACTACTTACTAAATTAAAATTCTCTGCAATTAATTATGAATTTAAAGCAGTTTTTCATCATATTTTGTGGTTATAGAAGGATTCCCTTTGACTAATTTTCATTAATATATCCTAAATCAGTATCTACATGTATGATAACTAATGATGAATCATTAGATGACCACTTTGTACAAGTATAATAATAACTATCCAACAAAGTTATGTATGTAAGTTGATAATATGTGTTTCAACTGAATTAATTTTACATTTCTAAGTAGTCACCATGTCTATAGATATCTGGCTTTGTTCAGTTATGATATAGGCATGGGAGACATTCAGTAAACATAGTAAACTAAATAAGTAGATACAATGTCAGTGAATTATTGTTAGGGTGGGGATGGGGAGTTTAATCTTCTTTACAGTCAATTATTAAACTTCAGTCTGGAGTTTATGAACCTCAGGGTCCACACTGAATATATAAACTAAGGAAATAATATATAACCAGATAAGATGTTGTAAAATCAGCTTGCATGTGCACTACAAAGCTGGACAAGTCACCCCTAAGGCAGCTTTCCTGTAGAACAATCACCTTCGATTCAAAGAACTTGGCCACTGTTTGGACAATTTGCCACCTTCTCGAAGACAACTCAATCGCTTTGTAGCTATTTTATGCTACACTTAAAGCAAAATAGATTACATCATTTTATTGTGATTCATGGATGACCTCCTTTTCATTCTGAAGGTATATGTCAAAACTACATACTATGAATAATGGATTTGATGAACATTTGATATCCAGACCAATATTGTTTATTTAAAACAGCTTAATTTAACAAAGCGACATTTTGATTGTAAAATTTCTGTTAAAAACATGGTGCTTAAGATGATAATTTATTACAACCAATGTCTTAAAAGTAGGA